ATATATCATACTCTTGTCGTGGGCGGAAACGTGAGAGAGAAATATTTTGAAAAAGAAAATGTTAGTCGTTTTATATAGCAAGTGTGAAAGTGTGCCAGAAAAGATTATTGGAGAATCTTGGCCACTCACTCTCCAAAGGTATTCAAGTTAATGCTTTTAAAATGTGCGGAGAGATGAATGAACAATGGAGTCTCTTAACCTCGAGTCATCAAAAGGTGTTCAGTAACTGTCAGTGTACCTGTCAGTGCTGGCTTTGACGCTGGAGAAGGGAGCATGGCCTGAGTCCTTACTCTGCTTCTCAAACTACACCACTGCAGGGCTCTCCTAACCCTCTGTAATGCGTTCTTACATCTCAGGGTATCCTATTGTACAGTGTGTGGTATATGACGACTTCCTGTCTGAACAGCAGAATTTTCAACCCTTGGGACAAAAAGGGATAGACAGGGAACTAATGTTCTCCAGCTGTTACCCGTAAATGCTACCTCTGCGTTTTCACTTTGGTTCAAGTCAAATTTTACTGGGATCAGATTTAGATACACTGTAGACTTCTTATGGGGGAGGGGGGTAGAAAAAAAAAAACCCTCTTGTGCTCAGCTGATCAGAGGAGACCAATCGGAACGTTTGTGAGTTTTGGCTGGAAAGCCACACTGTGTTTAGTTTTCATCAAGTCATTTCAGATGAGTCAAGATTCCTGTGTGATAGATGAGAAAGAAAACAGAGAAACCCAAGTAACATGACCTCAGACCTACCCCCCCTTTTTCTTCCTCTCTGTTATACTGTAGCCCCTTCTAAATAAGTTTTTTATATATAATATATATACAAATAGTAAATATAGCTGTATTTTGGCCTGATACAAATCCACACAGAATTGCCTTATATAATACAAGGTGCCATCTTTCTTATCCAAAGTTACAAATGCAAAAGAAAACCAAAGCTATACCTACTAATTTTATCTGTTAGTCAAAGACGACTCAGAATCAAGGTAGTTTTCTGGATTGAATGCAATTTAGGCATAGTATATGTCAAACACTAAAGAGGGACTTATCCATGAGTGTTTATACATAGACTGTGTCAAGTTTGTTCAAATATGTGTCAGTGGTGTGTGTGTGTGTGTGTGTGTGTGTGTGTGTGTGTGTGTGTGCTTCAAAACTACAAGTTTATATTTCTATAATTCCTGGCAGTTGACAATATATGCACAACATCTGGAGATTGCAAATATCATTGAATTATTAAAATTTTTAACTGTGAGTATTTTATGGATAATCTTACTTTCTCTTGGGAAATACATTATACAATCTTTAAAAAGGTCTTTGTAAGACTACCTTAGCAGGTGGGACAGCACCTTCCACTTTGCTGTGATCCCAGGACAGGAGGGGTTCACATTGCCTAGAAGACTGTCAGAAACTGGAGTTTTGGGTTCCTCCTGGAACTACACACTTGTCATATGTTGTGTGCATTACAGTTTTTAGATCTTCTTGTGAGAAAATAAGAGTATCCCCTCGAGAATTTGGAACTGAATTCCAACTTCATCTCCTGGGGACTTTCTTTTCCAAAGTGAAGAGAGAGTTTCTCCGTGGCATTTGCCATTATCACGTTGCTAACTGTGTGGCTATTCATTTCCTTTTGCTGTCTTAGTGTCTATTTTAATGGACCACTTGGAGAAGTTTAGCCTTGTGAAGACCTGTTAGAATTAATGGGCAAGTGAAGACTTAACAGCTAAGAAATCAATAAATACCAGCCCCCCTTTTCCTGTATTTTGCTCACTCATTCCCACTTTTGGTACCTCTATCTTTTCTTCTTTTTGAGATCAAAGATATCTATGAATCCACAATGAGTGATTCCAGAGTGTCTTATTTCCTTAAGTTCTTAGTGAATGTTCAGATTAATACTCTGTCTTTAGGCTGGCCTTGGATTTTGCTCCAGGGGGAAAAACTTACATTCTTAATCTTTAGCTTTCTAGAAACATAAGCCAATGTCTAAATGATTAGTATGTTCTGGTAAATTCTTTCATGAGAGAACATTATTTTTGGTCTTTATCTGGTTTCAGAAAGTATAAGTTACAGCCTATGCAGAGAAATATGAAGAATGAGTTGGGGGATTCAAAGGCATTAGAACCATTAGCTTTGATTTCAGTTAAGCCAAATAAACAAATCTTGCTTCAAGTAGGAAGAGGGGAGCTGCTTTCTCTGCCTTTTAAGGCTTCAGTGTTATGTTTATTCTACTCCTACAGGTCAGAGGCAGTAGCACTCACACTGTTAACAGCTCCTTTGCAAAGTCTTGTTGAATTGGAGCTGGAGAGGCCACAGCCAGGGGGTTTGACCCCTGGTAGCTTTGGGGTCTAGTAGGGCCCTTTCACCATCTCAGATGAGGGGAGCTGGTTGCTGGAGAGTGTAAGTCATCACAAATCCATCACCACCCAGGAAATCTTGTAATAACAATAATGGTGATTAACACTTGCCAAAGTCTACTGTATCTGTTCATGATTTTAAGCACCTGGTATGCACTGTCTCACTTCACCCACAAAGTAATCCTACAGGGCAGGGTCTCCTGTGTGCCTCATTTTACCAACAGAGAAACTCAGGGACAGGAAAGATAGTCTAGTCTCTTTCCAACACTAATACTGGACAATTCCAGAGCCATTGCTTTTGTCAGAAAATGGACATTTTACTTCACTCTGTTTGTCAGGAACTTTTATGACCCTGTGGGTGTTGTTGTGAAGGACATGAAGAAGGACAGGTAACAGAGAAACCACGTGGTACCCTGTAAGGAGCTGAAGTGTCTTATGAGAAATGTGGCAGGCTAAGGTAAGATATAGTTTTAGTTAGTCACTGTGTGGCCTCATTAAAAAGCTGGAATTTATACCAAGACTTACAGGAAGGTGTGTGTAGAGCTTTTGGAGATCCAGGTAGACGTTGCTCTTTAAAATTACTGCCTTGTCTCCATCAGCTGAAACACTCTTACCAAACGTCATGCCCTAGGTGGACTATAAGCTGTAGACAGTCATTTCTCAAAATTTTAGAGCCTGTAAGTCAAAGAGCAACCAGCATATCTGCACACCTAGGTTCTGGAGAGAACCCCTTGTCCAGGCTATAGATGCTGACTTCTACCTGTATCCTGGGAAGGCCATTGAGGAAACAAGCTTAGCTAGCTATCTGGCCTCTTAAAAGTACACAGTACTGTCCATGAGAGTTCACACATACACACTGGATTCATTTTCTAATACTAACATATTGCAATTAAAATGTCAACAAATGTATTTTGGGGGTCTACAGGTATCATTATCTTTCAGTGAGAGTACAATATTGCTGGTCTTCTGTAGTAGCTGCTACAGTTTGACCACTTGATAGAGAATTTCTCTAGATTAGTGGCTTAATGCATTTCATCTACTTGTGCATTCCTCAACAGTTCTGTCTTATTTTTCTTTGGTTGCATATCAGAATTCTGAATGTTGGCCTGGACATACTGTAAATATCACCATAACTCTGAGATAGAAGTAGGTTTTCATCTTTTGCCTGCAGCAAATACTTCCATCGTGATGCAAATCAGAAGATAAAGAATAGTGTTCCAGTGTTTGGTTAAAATAAAAGCATTTGTACCGTGCTGCTGGCAATACCATGTTTGGTCTGATGGGGAGCAGTAATTTCAGAGAATTGGAGATCTTTTTTGAATGTTTAAAATAAAGGTTTGGAAAGAGAGGTGGCTTCTTTTCCATGCTGGGAACCAAGTCTTAGCTCTGTTTTAAATCTTGCTACTGCTTGG